GTTCGACATCACACGGAGAGGGCAGATGTAGGGGAACACATCCTCCTTGGAAAATAACATAACATTTATTTCTAAAAAATAAAACATTCAATTAAGGCCCCTGCCCTTGTCTCTGTGTCGTCCTCAGTCTAAAGCTAAGCGTGAGCGGTGGCTTCTCCAGGGAATGGGGGCCGAGGAAGAGGAGGCAAGGCGGAAACAGCTGGAACAGGATGAAGAACATGGGAAGAAGCTGGAGGCGATGATACACAGGTACTGTGCCAGGGTTGCTCAGATTTGGGCTCGGTTCATTCTCATGCCCATTTTGTCATCCGCATTGTATCGTCTAAACTAAATGTGTTATTATATGTTTCCCAGTGTGTAGTAGACACTTGTATCCATCTCTTGCTTGATCATCTAATCGCTGAAGTACATCTGGTAGTGAAGCCATCACATCTGTTCTTGTTGCTGGATTCTTTCTGGCACTGTGCAGCCTTAACTGATTTGAAACATTCCCAAAATGCCTGTGATATTATCTATTCGGCTTCCCTTTATTATATAGCAGCAAAGTCACAGACTTTTACCGCCTGCTCACATTGTCTAAGCCGGAAATACGCATCTGTAGGTTTTTTTTTGTTTGTTTTTTTCCATCAGCGACACTCTGTGTCTCAGGTGATGCTAATTGTCACAGCTAAAGCTCCAAAGTGAGCGTGAAGTAGACAAAAAACACCAAAGGCTTCAGCAACACTTTGATTTTGACAGCCATACCTGAAATGTTCAAAGCTGTTTCAGAACAGAGTCCAAATTTTTGCAAACGTTTGAAGCTGGTTACAAACAATTCTGCACACGTCTCTACTGCAGAGATTAGGACACAGCCGTGGATTCTTTCAAGTGTAACCACTAGTGAAACAATAAAAGCAACTCAGTGTCAATGCACAACTTATCTAAAGTCCAATGTGACAAAGAGGAGGAGCATGTAAAATGGCGCAAAATTAAAAATAATATTTGGGAATTAAAAGAAGCGTGAAAACTGGAAGGAGAAAGTCAGAAACTTTGGAGATACAAGCAAAACAAGTGAAAAAAGTGTTGCCATCAAAGGAAATGAGTGAGATATTCGGAGGGATGAAAGAGAGGAAAAAAGGAGAGTGGGATGTGATTGTGCATGCACTTCCCATCTTTGTGTCTTTAGGAGGAGCTTCCTGATTTCCATCAAGGATGGCTTTTAGACATTCATGTATTCCCAGATGAAGTCGGGGCATGAGATCATGTTATGAACAAAGTGTTGGCTATGAGAAAGGCTGAGTGTGAAATAAGGGCTGGGCTGCAAACTGGCTTATTGGAAACAGAGGTGGACAGACTTACAGGGGTGGACTGAAAAGTACAGAGAACAGGTCCTCTGAAGTAAAAGCTCTGGTGATATAAAGAAACAGCAGCTTGTATAATCACATTCGAGGTGACGCTACCTTTCAGCAAGTTTAACTTTCTAGATTATTTTCCATACTTCCAATATTGAGTCTTTTTTATTTTATCAACCCCTCTAACTGCGGATTTATCATCTGTGTATTTTGAAGTTCTGAGATTTAACTCCAGAAGTTACTGCTCCCTTTCTGCTGTACCTTTGCACAACTTACAGGAAAGTTAACGCAATTCATCTTCTATTTTTATTCATTCTTCGCAGGATGAAAATAGCTCCAGTATGTCATCAGGCTGGTTTTCCTAGATTTAACACAGAACATGCTCTCTCTTGATTTAAAGCAGAAGCTCAGTGGCTAACTTTTCTCATGAAATGGCTTTTTAAACATCTAGACAACCATGAGGTTTGAAACTTTTATTTCTAGCAGACTTTAGAAATGTGCAATATGTTTTAAAGAGAGAAGGACTGGAAACTGTCAACAGTGAGAAGGGGAACAACATATAAGATATGACTCCATGCTATGGCTCCATGCTATAAGCTGCTTCAACCCAAAAAATAATGAATAACGCTCAGGATCTGGAGCGGAGGACAGCTTCTTAAGACAAATATAGCTGTCAGACCAAAGTTCACGTGAACTATAAATCTGCTATTGAATAGTTCTTGCACCTTAGTGTCATGGATCTCTCTATGCTGACATGTTGTTGGTCAGTTTCACAGATCCCTGCACAACTTCCTTGTCTCTCAAATCACTGCATGAGAGAGATTCTGTTAGCTGCTGAAGCTTATTACCCGCATTGCAAAAACATCAGTGTGAAGCGCCGTCAGGAACTCCGGGATAACATTGGCTCTGGTGTAAACAGAAGCCCGGTGAATGGTCAAAGATGGAGCATTGTGGGCTTCTAGTACAGTTGTGATTTTTGTAAACTGCTTCACGTGAATAGTTTCATTCAGCTGCTGTTGAATGGAGCTGCTGTCTGATGGTTCTTGTCAAAAGAAAAAAAAAAAGGTTGCAGTTTGCTGCTCTAATTACTTGCAAAATCATTTTAGCTGTGTCCCGAGTCTGTGTTTTTTTTTTCTCACAGAATAGCCTTTTGAAGCTTTTTCATTTCCTCAATAAGCTGACAGAGCTGGGACCAGAGGGCCCAGGCACTCAGAAATGACAGCAGACCGCTGGAGCGTGCACTAAAAAACAAGCGTCTCACAAAGAAAGATGTGAATGCTGCACTTTCCAAATCTATAACCCAGAAATATTCTATTTGCCCCACCGCAGTCATCTCCAAAAAACCAGGAGGCAAGAAAAAAAATCCTGGATGTCTCACTTTACCAGGCTGCCAAAGAGTTTTCCACCAGATTTATCCCTCCAACGTCCCAACCTAGCATTTTTCCAGCATGTTTACACGTATGCAGGAAGGTTTTCAGGCAGCTTCTGTCGTGAACCAGGGTGTCAGATGTCTGCTGAAATTGGGCTTGGAGGTGGTGCTCAGCTGTTTGAGATTAAACTCTGGAGGCTTTTATAAAACAGTCCTTTCCAGTGGGTTAAATAAAGTCTCAGAGAGCTTGCGTAGGAGTGAAAGGAGTGCCTTCCGCCACACAAAAAACCTAAACTTCAACCTCTTTTTTTCTCTTTTTTCTTTTTTTTTTGCCACACAGAGATTCATTAAACATGAAACTGCAAATATGGAGGGAAAGGTTCGCACCAGTTCATTTGTTTGATGTCACCGTACTTAAGTTGGAAATGTGTAGGCAACAGAGGACACCGATGCACAGCACGTGTGCCTGTGTGTGTGTGCTATTCAGGCAAAGGGTGTGTCTTCTATATTTACACTCTATGGAACACCATCCCAGAATATACCGTAACCCGGGGAACTGAAGTCTTTCCACTGCTGATAGGGACAGAGGTGAATTGTTGGCGCCAATATGCACTCCAAACATGTGTGTGTGTTGGTATGCGTGTTCGAAAGAGGGTACATGTAAAGCCATAAGGATGTACGATCCTTATTATGATGAAAACTGCCACCCCCTGCACAAACATTTCTCAAACAGACTCTTCTGTCTTGTGACTGGAGACCCTTTGTCCAGTCTGTCCGTCCATCCTGGCTGCCAACACACCAGTGACACACACGCACGTACCGGTGGACACTTTAGAGACGGGTTGCGGTTGCTATTTTTACAGATGCCGTGTATCTTTTCATTCACCGGCGAGCAGAGGAGACAACAGGAATGCAGGAAAGAGGGGGAACAGCTGCGCGTGTCCTCCGAGGACAATTAAAACCGCTGCCGAGCTGTTGTTTTTTTTTTTGTTTTTTTTAAAAGCCAGAGCGCACGAACAAGCTGGACAGAACAAGCGTCCCTTCAGACTATCCGCTGGAATGCGCGAAGCTAAAGGAATACGCATTAACGAAATCACAAATCAGAGCAAAGTCTGGACAACAGCCGCGGCTTTGTGAGGCGTTACGAGCTCTGCCAGCTGTCGGCCTTAAACTAGAAAGGCCAATAAAGGAACACTGCTATCTTTGTGCAGGCCTTGTCCCGCAGACATACCTGCAGTCACAGAGCTGGAAAAGGACAAACGCCCCATCCCACCCCCGTCCTGACCAAACTCCAGGAGGGATGAGGTCAAAGCAGAAAGAGGAGGCCAGCTTTTGCAGAGCGCACAATGAAAACGGAACGAGAAAACGTGGCGGCAGCAGCGGTGGTTTTTACAGATATCCCCTATCATTACATGGACGGGCTAAGTAAACACACCCAGGGTTGGAGCAGGAGAAAGGGCCTTTCACAAAGCCCTGCTGACCCGTGCCTACCCACCCTGTGCTCCTTTTTGGATTACTGCTTGTTTCATGTCGCACAAACGGCTCCGTGCGGATGTCGCCATCATTGTAATGGAGCCTGCGGTTTTCCTAATGCGTCCTGCCGCAAGGCGGGTTCCTCAGCTAGCTCTGTTATAGTTTGCGACGCTGAACAAAAACCAGGCCAGTGACTTAAAGCTAGAAGAAGCCTCCATGTGTTTATTTTTACTTATCAAGGCTTAACCATGGTAGAAAAAAGTATTTGGGTCTACGGTTTGTAATTAATCTAGCCTGTCCTATTTTTCTTCCCTTTTCATTTGTATTAAATATACTTCCATAATCACACATCTCTTTTTATGTCTGTAAATGGAAAGCGCCCATATTCCCCCGCTGAATGCAACCCCAGAAGGGGATCAATAATGCTTTATCTTGTCTATCAATAAATTACCCGAAGAGAAAAAAACCTCTTCTAAACTGGTCCAGCGGGCGGTGAGGCTACAGCAAACCACAGTCGTCCTTGCAGCAAGCCCAGTGAAGAGCCCTGTACCGTGTTACATAATGTTCTAAGAATATTTGTCTTCTACTTAACAGTGGCAGTATGAGAGCACATAGTTTTGACGTGTTTGGAAAAGTGGGATGCGTTTCGAATCACTGCAGCTGTAAACGCTGCAACCTCCTCCCGGGGTTTTCAGCGTTTCGAGATGCTGCATGGTTTATGCCATTCATAAATTCCTCGAAAAGACATTTCTGTCGCCCTCAAAGCAGCCCGTTTAAGATACTGTAGGTTTACAAATTCAACTCTCATTCTACATCCAAATTTAGATATGACGAGGTTTAGTTTGACGAGGTCATGTTCGCAGAACAGGGCCCGCTCCGCCGCTGAAACACAGCTGCTTGGCAAATGTGTCTGTACTTGGTTTATTTTCTTAACCTGAGCTGAATTCATACAAGATGTAATCCGTTTTAGCTCCAGCTCAGTGCAGTCGCAGTGAAAACAAACTGCAGATGCCAAAAACGGTGCCAAAGCTCAAAATGTGGCTCACTTAATGTTTTAAATATACTGTGTTAAAACTAGCTGGATCCAAAGCACAACACCACCACTTTATATGGTAGGCTATATCTCTTAGAAAAAAAGGGGGGAAAAAGAACAGGATGGTGTAATTATTATTTTAAAAACAATGTTGAGATTTCTGTATGAGGAATAAGTGAGTGTCAACTAAGATGTTCTGCTCTTCAGTCTTTCATGGATAAAATTTCCCTTTTTCACAGCTTCGTGGACCCATTACATTCTATAGATTTAACCAATTTTCTAATTTTCTGAATACAAGAGACCTTTAGTTACAGAGGCACATTTAATTCCTCAAAATGCAAAAAATAGATGGGTACCACATTTCAGCAAGTCAGACTGACAAAGTTTTTCCAGATTATTAGGTTCACATTTCAGATCACATACAGATAAAACCACTAAATTTTTCCATTCTTCCAATTACAGAGCACACTCAATAGATGCTTGTCATTTTTCCTTGTACATCCTTAAAACTGAGAATGGATGAAAACATTTACCTAAAATGCACTGTATGTCTGGCTGTGCGTATGATCTTTAATGTACTCGCAGGTGCTCCGTATCTATTTTTTTATACCATTCACCAGGGTCTGTTTGTGATCTGGAAGACAGATCAAAAGTCTGGACAGAAACAGGAAGAAGCTGGCCGCTGATTCACCGGCCTGCCTTTGTGTTGGCCTCTGTGTTCTAACAAGGCAAAGGTTAAAGACAGATGTTTTGCCTCTGGCTGGATTTTGAATTCTTTGGTGACTTCATTTTCAAACCATTCGCTTTCTCTTTAAAAGAGTGTGTCTTTAAAATGCAATGTTTTCCTGAGTCCTACACAGAGCAGATGACTACTCGGCTTTTTGGGGGGGGGCTGTCGACAATGAACATCTGTACGTCCTGATGTTTTTAACGCATATCTAGCGTTGCTCATCTTGGGTTTTGGTGCCCCATCTTCAAGGTGAATACATCTGTACATTTGTACATTTGTAAGTTTACAAATTTTTACGTGGTGGGGTTTGGATGACCACAACCTTAATTCCAGAGGGAGATGCCTTGTCAAAGAGTGCTGCTTTATTTCCCTTTCTGCATGATTTACTCCACTAGGAAAGCAGATCAGTCTTCTAGGTCGATGTTTCTATTTGATTAATCAATTACAAAAAAAATATTATTTAGTTTTTACAGTTTCTGCTTCTCCAAACTGCATCATAAGAATTAAATCTGGGAAAACAAGTTTTTTATGCAATCACACACACAGAATCTCTTTTATGTCTACAAAGTGCTGATGGACCTCCTCCTTTGTGTGTCCCCTGCTGTAGACACGCACACAAACACGCATCATGCCACACATATAACCAGATGTCTGCTCTTCCTGCTCTTGTATGATGTGGAAAGCAGTTGCTGCCCACCCAGGCGTGTCCATGGCAACCGGCCCGCGGTTGGTTGACAGGGCGGGGACAGTGACATCACTGCTCTCTTTCAGCATTACCTCAGAGATTGTAACACTCCAAGACACGGTTGCATGCAGAAAGAGCGGAATAGACGGAGGAGGGGCCAAGGCCATGGCTCCATTACACACACATGTACAGAGACAGAAGAAGGGAGACAGGAAACCTCAGAGTCAACAACAGCAGAAATTTTGGGCAGGCTATGTGTTTTTTAGGCATCTTCTTTTGCAAGAATTGGCTTTAATAGATCATTCTCATACTCATGGTAATATATCTCCTGCCTTATGGTTAATCTGCTAATTCCTGTTTGATAATTCGCTAGAGATGAAAAAAAAAATGTTTTCAGGAGAATAGAAATATGCAAACTCAGAGGTCAGGCAGGGTGGGTGCTCGCTGTTTTAGTCGGGTTTGATCACCAGAGGGTGCCATGCGTCACTACTTCGTTTTATATCTCAGCCAAGGCCACATATGCAGGCCTCTGGCACACATACACACATAGTTAGGTTTAAACGTCCTGCAGCCAATGCTGACCGTGTGAAAACAATATTTTGATGTCATACCTTTCTTGCAAGTGCAAAAGAGGTTATGTGAAGCGTGTGCTGTGGGTGCACATGTTCTCCCTCCTTCAGCTCCTGCTTTTGACACGCTGCTTGATGCAGTAGTAAGGCGAGCAACATGCTTCCTCCTGTGGTTATAAATTGGGTTTCTCGATAGTTTTGACAAGAACTCCTGCAGACCAGAGGAAGTCAAATCAATTTCCTGGCAGGATTGAGGGACTTTAAAAAAAAAAGGGGAGGGGGGCTTAGGAGGAGAAAAGGAGGAAAGCGGCAGAATGGTGATGGTGTTAACAGATGTGGGCCGTGCTTAAGCCTGACATGCTGCAGGTAAAGGCAAAAAAACACATGACCAGATTTTATCCAGCAAAAACACTGCACAGCGTGCATGTTAATGATCCAGAATCCCGCCTGTGGGTCTTCGTGATTCGGAGCTGAAGGGCATGAGGAGTTAGAGGGCTGCAGGGAAGATAAGAAGGACGGCTGTTTATTTTTGTACATTTTTCCGTTCACTTTCCAACAGGGTGTTTATGTGCAGTTTTATGACTTTGTTTACTTCTAAATGGCAGTTTAGTAGTAAAGAATCAGAGACAGAAGTTCAGTGGGAGCAGTTATTTACTTTATGTTGTGTGCAACATCTGGAGGTTTGATATTGTGACCACAACACCTGCAACTGGTTTAATAAGTATTTCTTCAACTGAAGTTATATATTACATTAGGTTGTGTCTAACTAAGAGAGGTAGTTAATTAAGTGCTTCCTTCCATTACGGATTTAAACATTTTTGCAATACTTGGCTATGCAACTTTAAGTCTCTTTGGATGTTGCAAGTTCAACACAACTGTAATTGCAAATGCTAAGAATTATTTGCATAAAACTATTTGTATAATAGCGCAAATTGATAGAATAGGTAGTTCATCTCATTATGTCATTAGACATTTAATTTTGTAATATTGCTATTACTATTTACTATTAATAGCACTGGAAGAACAATTCCTTAACCCAATATGTATCTTTTTCACTTGTTTTTTCTTTTAATATGAAACTTTGCCAGAGTTTCACTTTCCTTGGTTCACGTCAAGGTTATTCGATAAACACATTTCAAGGAAATCCAAGAAGTCTGCTGACATGAATTGATTGCACATTGTTGTACAGTCCTTCCCATTCAGTTTGGAAGAATTGTTACTCATATCATCAAGGCTTAACTTATTTATGGAACACAACTGTAAAAAAAAAAAGAAAAAAAATCACAAACAAGGCCCTTTGATAATAATTCGAAGCAACTGCTTGAAATGAGTTAAAGACAGAGAAATCTGGGGGCAATGTTGACTTACAGGGTGCATCTTTTAATCAGAAGGTTACTGGTTACACACTGTTACTCCACAATAGGTTTCTCACTTGCAAGTTGCTTTGAATAAAAGTGTCTTTGAAATTGTGATAGTGTAAAATAAATCTGATAATCCTCTGAATGGAAAACGATTTGCAATCACTGTTTCATGTATATATGTTTGTTAAAATCTCACTATTAAAAGGACGATCAACTTTTGCTTTTGAAAATACACACTTAAATACTCTCATTTCAGATAACAGGAGGTGACCATGAAATGAAGTGATCATTGTAATCTAGACAAAGCTTGAAGGAGACCGTAGCATGAGGCTGTTGTTTTATGGTTTGTTCAGCTTCAGATGTAAACAATGTACTGTACGTGATTACATTCAGCAGAGACTGTCTGCAGATTTGTGTGAGTAATGCAGCAAATGAAAGCTTTACCTTCAGCTGTCTTAAAACACTTCTGCTGGTTCCAATAAAAACTCTAAGCCATGGCTTAGATTTAGGCCTCAGCTAGCTTGTTGAATGTTAAGTTTATGACCGTACCATTAAAAAAAAGGCTACATTCAATTTTGACAAGTAGAAAAACTCTCTAAAATAAACATGGCAGCGAAGTGGCGTATAAGCAAATGATAAGAAATGCTATGTAAACTATTCTTAGCCAGCACATCAGATCAGTGCAAACATCATACACCTACTGTCCAGATGTGAAGGTTTTTGCTTTTTTGTGCAGCCACTGGACATGAGCACCTTGCCGCCAGTGAATCAAGCATAAATTCTTCTCAATACCAAAGAAATATAGAGTCTAATGTGACGCCTTCGATCCAACAGCTACAGTTTAGTCAAAGTTAGGTTGTGCAGCAGGACAATAATCTAAAAAACAACAGCGAGTCTGAAAAGGAATGTAAAAAAAAATAGAATCATGGGGTTGTGGTGGGATCTTAAGCACACTGAGTAGAAATGAAAACCTGGAAACAACGTTGTAATATATTGACGTAGCATGCTGTGTTTTTCGTTTTAAAGTTTGTGTTAATCTTTATCTTGAGGACCGGATGAGGACCATGTAAAAGTAAAAAGGCCTATTTGTGCTAATGAGAGATGCACTGCTCCTGGAATGTGATTGAGGTCAAAAGTCCCTCAAACATTACACCGTACAGTCAGAATAGCATGTTTCAGTGCTCATTATTAGTCTGTGATCTTGAGATTAGTACAAGACTACCCCAGTTAATGGCATTGTTTTGTACCTCAGTGTCTCTTTTACACATACTTGCTCATACACTGACGCACAAATTCCTCCTGTCCCTGAGGAGCCTTTTCTGAAGTAAGGAAGCAAATCCTGGTCCTCCTCCCAGACTGCTTCCTACCATTGTTGTTACATCCATCTTTTAAACGTCCACGTGTGCAATGTGTGCTTGAATGTGAACACAAACTTGCTTCAGGTGCGAGTTCATGAATGTTGCCTTATGGAAGGCTAATTTAGAAATGTTGTTGATTTGAACACTTATAAATGCTGTGAAAGCATGACAAACTGCTTTGAAAACCTGTACCCTTTCATCCAGACTCATAGTCATGGTTTCCTTTAGTGCATGTTTCTACTTTCCCTTTCCTTTTTTGGCTTTTTTGAGAGTCATGTTCCTGCGTCAGTTTTCTAGGTCCAATGTAAATACATTATTTACAGAGAACTTCCTAATGGACCAGACAACTCATGTTTGTACTAAAAGAAACTCATTTGTTTTGTGTTTATGTGTGTGTGGGGGTCTTTGCAGGTTGGAGTCTGAAATTGGCACACTTGAGAGTGAAGAGTCTCAGATTTCAGCCAAGGAGCAAGTTCTTCGACAGCGTCTGAAAGAAACAGAACGCTCCATAGAGGACCTGCAGAAGGTATGAAAACAGCTTGTGTGTGTTACTAATATCTATAGGCAAATAGGTCAAAAGAGGGCAAATACCCAACAATAATGTGTATAAAATTGAAGTAAAACACAATGCATTTGTTTTCAAATTCCGTAAACCAACATTATAATCACAATAGAGCGTAGAAAACAGGTCATGTGTCCAAAGAGGCATTTCCAGTTTCAGTGGTATTATGTCCTGTTCTCGTCTGCTATAAGATTCAAGCTGCTACACAGTCTTGGTACTACTTTGTCATGTTATGTGTTTTACGAGGCACCAAAGTGTTGAAAAGTCTGGATTGTTGGCAGACCGGTCCAGAACTAGGATTTCTCCCCCATAAAGTCCTGCTGTTAGAGTAAATGCACTATGCAGTTTAGCATTCTGTTGCTGAAAAATACAAGACCTCCTCTGACAAAGAAATCATCTTGACAAGAGCATATGCAGCTCTAAAAGCTGAAAATACTTTTTAATCATAGTTTGTGCTATACAATTCTCCAGTACCTCAAATAGCTATTTTTCTTTCTTTCTCTCTTTCAGAGTTTGATGATCCAGGATGAAGGTATGACCAGTGACGCATACAAACACAAATATAAACTTGCACTTTGTCCTTACCCCTTGGTGACAGAGTGGAACTCGCTCTTTAGCACTGTTTTCCAGTGCTAAAGCTACATTATCTTACCACAAAGCATGTTGTTTACCTGACCCATTGCAAAAAGTATTAGTGCCCAACAGATTTGACCTAAATCAAAGAAATGATGTCAGAGTTAAATTGTGAAAGCGTTTGTTTGACCAGTTGCATCAATGGTTGGGCTGAAAAAAATAATAATTAGAAAGTCAAAGTCTACCAGGTGTTTAGATCCAGAAATCCCACAACCTAAGGAGCCATTTCCCCTCTTATATACGTAAATATGGGGTGTTGGTCATTCATGAGACATGGTCTGATCCCAGCCTCTAACGCTGGCAGTGTGAGTGACATCAAGGCCCCCATGCGTGTCTCCATGGAGGTCAGGGACTTGAACTAGGCAACCCTGTTTGGATTTACAACATTTTAACACATTTTCATGCACAAACACAGAGACTGCTGTAACATATCCCCTAAAATATCTACTCCGTGTGTGTATTTACACATAACACACGTGTGTCCTCGTGTGGATAATAGTCCCGCTGAGGCAGGAACGATGCAAGCCAGAGCTCGCTCCTGGCACTCAGACACCCTCACTGGGACTCACAGACATACGTACACACCAGCACACGAACACACAATGGGACGCGAATGCGTCCGTGTACACACAGAACCCGGCTCAGCGAGACTATTGAGGCTCACACACACACAAGGCCATGACTCTGCAACCTGCGGCCGCTGGCTTTATCCCCCCAACTATTCACCGGCAAGCCGTGTAAGCCCCTAAAGCTTTGTTTACACCATCACGCACACTCATACCGACACACGAGCGCACACACAAAGCGGCGGCAAGCGCACAAACATACACACACACGCATACTTCTGCTGCGTAAGCACCGAACCTCAGGGGTACTGGTGTTGCTGTGGACACACAAACAGGGGGACTAGTTAGACAGTGCTTGTGTGTGTGTATGCACCTGTGTGTGTGTGTGTGTGTGTGTGTGTGTGTGTGTGTGTGTGTGTGTGTGCGTGCGTGCATGTCTGTGTTTCAGCATGCAGCTAAAGTTAGAGCGTGTGTGACTCTCCCCTCACGGCTTCATCCCTCTGACCATGTGTCATTTCTCCTCCCGCGCCCCTGCTCGCTAGATGCCAGCGGCCGCATGTCAGCCCCCGGCCTGGACCGCATGGACCCCGATCCCAACCACCACCTGGACCCGGCCACCCAGTCCCGAGGCTGCCCCCCTGTCCCCGGAGACCACGCCGCACCAAGACCTGGTAAGAGGGTGAGGGAAGGGGGGGTGAGGGAGGGAGCGAGGGGGGGAGAGAGGGAGGGAGGAAGGGAGGTCAAGAAGATTTTGGGCCTGAGCCAAGGCGGATTATAAGCAGGGAAGTGTCACATGAAGCCAGACGGACATACGTGCACAAACAGTAGCACAAAGTATGTTTACATAAAGACTGAGGATGTCGGTGTAGTACGGTATATATGTCAGTGATAGGATCAAAGCTTACAGCGGTATTTTTAGGAGCAAAACACAGGTGATGAGCTTAGTCTTAGACGGGACATTGACTAAGGATTTAATGGCATAGAAGGGATCACCTCCACTACTAGCTGTGACACAGCCGTACGCTTTTTTTTACGTCTGCATTAAATGCCGCTGACTCTGCAGATTTCTTCTCAGCCTCAGGGTGCTAGATAAAACATTATTAGTCAAACGTAACAGCCAAACCAAAACAGCTAGACCTCAGCAAGATTGATAATAGACCTTTAATCTCGTGGGAGGGTCAGACAAAGTTTTGGTAGAGCAGCCATTATTATCATGTGATATTGATTTATATTTGCTTCGTTCAGGCCGGTTTAAAGGAAGCTTTGTATTTTTTTTTTGGTTCACTTATTTACGATTGTTCCTTGGCTTATTTGTTGAGTCGTACTAACTGCATATGTGGGAAAATGAGCGAGTCGTGCACAATTTATACATAAATGTCAAAACCCCTGTTTTTGTCCCTCACTTTTAACCACTTCCACTTTTCCTCCCATCACCCCTTCCTACACTGTCCCTACCTCACCCCATCACTCCCTCTTCAAACCCCACTCCCTCCCCCCCACCACCTTTCCAACCCCCCTAACAGCCATGTTCGCCATGGAGATCAATGTGCAGCACGACCCGCAGACGGGCGAGCAGCGCGTGCTGTCGGCCGGCCGCGTGAACCCGGCGGACGCCGGCTCCCGCGGGGTCAAGGTCTACGACGACGGCCGGAAGGTGGTCTACGAGGTCACGTCCGCCGGGGGGGTGTCCACCACCAACCTGGAGAACGGCTGGAGCTCGGCGCAGGTGGACCAGCTGGTCCAGCGCGCCGCCAGGCCGGCGGTGCACGGGGGCGAGGGCGGGAGGGGTCAGGTGACCGTGACCCCGGCGGAACCGGCCCGGGCCTACGTCTCCCCGGCGGACGTCGACGACCTGTCCCCGCCCTCCTGCGCGCCGCCGTCCATCCCATCCAGCCCGCCGGCCCAGGTCATCCTCCAGAGGGAGACCCGCCTGGGCATGATGCCCCCATCCCCCGCCCCCATCACAAACCAGCCGGGGTCATCAGCGTTCCCGGGCCGCGAGCTCAGCTCCCCGCCCCAGGCCAGCGCGGAGAACCCGGTCACCATGGTGTTCCTCGGCTACCAGGACATTGAGGACGCCAGCGAGAGCCGGCGGCTGCTGGGCTTCGACGGCGCCGTGAAGGCGGAGGTGGTGCTCATCGACGAGGACGACGAGAAGTCCCTGAGGGAGAAGACGGTCACCGACATGTCCGCCGCCGACGGCACCGCCGCCGACCTGGTGTCCGGCCGGCCGGCCACGTCCGAGGCCGTCAGCACCGAACTGTCCTCCGACGGCCGCGAGCCCGACAGCGCGTCCTCGCCCCCGGCCAATCCGGACGCCAGCGCGGCCCCCCCGCCGCCGCCGCCCGGCCTCACCCCCGCCACAGGTACAGACAAGAGGAAACGCTGCCAGTGCTGCGTTCTCATGTGACTGAATCTTCTCCCTCTTCCATCCTTTTATTATTACCCTTTTTTTTCTCCTCTGTCTCTGGATGATTACTAACAGAAGCCCTACCTTCCTCCTCCTCCTCCTCCTCCTCCTCCTCTGGACACTGAACGGCTGGCACGCACACGCGCACACACACACACACACGCTCTTGTCTGAGTTTGAGCTTCTCACCCGGTCACGTTGTCACCTCTGCTCTCTTTCGTTACTTTCTCTGTCGACGTGGAGGCCCTGCCCGTGTCACCACTCCAACGCGAATGCGTTTACCGTCACGCTGCTATGATTGTGGGGAAATCAGACACTCGGAGATGAGGAAAAGTGTGTTGGCAAACAGCTCATACATAAACAGTCATGCAAAACTCCCATAAGACTCTATGGACAATCTGTGCCATCGCTGTGTCTAACCAAACCTAACATCTGGCTCTGTCCACCAACCAGATCACATCCTCTGATGGGTCAGTTTATCAAACGTACAAGCAAGTCTTTTGTTTTTTTACATTTCCCATTGAGTCACTTTCTTCTCCTCTTGCTGCCACCGCACTTAAACACAAAAAACAAACCCTACATGCGATGTATGAACTCAACCACACCGCCCTTTTCCCTGAGCAGACTCTCTCTGACGAGGGCGGAGAGGTGGGTACTTGATGCCTTGGTTTCTTTATGTGCCTGTTCCTTCTCTCACACCGATAGCCCCTAGCGAAATTTGGAGATCGTGAGATGTTTCTATTAGAGTTTGCCGTTGTTATCTGAATATGTGTTTGTTTTGTTTTGAAACTCAAAAGGCCATTGAGTTGCTGGATGCCTGTTTCCGTGGGAAACTTGACTATTTGACACTTGCGTAAGCATTCTCTCCTTCTCCTTCGTCCCTCACTACTGTTTCCTACCATTAACTCCAGCTATTCCACTGCTGAGGTAATTTCCTCTTATTCTAGTATTTCCTAACTCAGCAGCCAATAACAAGGATCACCACTTGGCAGCCAGAAGGATCAAAACAGCCAACTTTTCCAGTGTGTCTAATTACTCTGGTGCACAGGATGCGAATGGCAGCTTAACAAACACACTCTGGTAACAAGGGAACACACATTTGACCCTTGGGAAACTAAAATGGGTTACTTTGAACAGCCGATGGCAATGAAGATGTGAATATTAAATATCAACAAGCACTAATATAGTACAATTTACCACTATGTCAGTTGATCTTAAACTGACTGAAGTTGTTATTTTAAAATCCACGATAATTTACATTGCAGAACTCCACCATGGATTTTTTACAAAATTTTTCCAATCACAATCAGACTGACAACACTGCCAGCTCTTGCTACAGTTGTCACCCAGAGCCTCGTTTACAAGGGTGCTACAAACAACCAAGGCTTGGGTGCCATTATAACATCACAATCTGTAAAAAATCATACTGTACTTGGCTGGATTTCTTTATTTTTTAATCTCTCAAAAAAATCAGTCCTGCTAGTTACGCTAAATGTCAGTCAACGCTAATTAGGGTTGATTCACCAGAAGAAATACAAAGGGTAGTAATACTCAACATGATTCTTAAAAAATGATTTGTTTGGACAGTTAGCGACTCAGCTTTGCCAATGCAAATATGTTCTTTTTGTCATGGTCAATAAGACTTTGCTAAAAGAAAAAAAAAGCATTCACAAAGGTGTGAGGGTGGCTACTCAGGTTCAAATGCTAAAATTGAAGGGTGTTTACCAAGTGCCTCTGACCTCAATTCAAATCAAGCCATGGTTCCAATGTGCTTTACACTAAAAAGTATTAGTCAAATTACAAATACGTTAGATCCATAAAACTGAATCCCAAAACTCCGGCCAAGGCTAAACCTAACATACCACTATTAGTAAGCAGGAGTCTCAATGACCTTTTTTAGTTTTTTGGAATGCACAAAGTTTTTAATTGATCCTCTTTGATAAGTCACTGCACCTCTTTACTGATCCTGGTCTTCAACTACAGAACAAAATTGCTTTTTCTACTGTGTACTTACTCTGGTTATAGTCAAAATGAGAACAAGGACAAGAAAGAATATCCTCTTGCCACAAATATTCCAACACAACAGGAGGTCTCTAGGTAAACCAGTCATTTCCTTACATGTGGACAGCAAGTCACCCTTCAAACCTCCATGCTTTCATGTGATTCCCTGCTTCTGCTGTCAGTAAGTCCGGTGGAATGTGTGATTGGTTACAGAGCAGAAATGCCAGGATTTGTGGGTATCTTGTGTAGATAAAAAATGTAAATACGCTCTATATTATATTAAGCAATTATTTTTGTTTTCCACATCTATATAGAGATGTAGAGTTAATTCTAATTATTATAGTTCTATGATACCATATGGTGACTTTATGAGTGCACAAACCAGAGATTTGTATTTTTTTTTTCACTCCACTGCGTTGCTGTGTGTGATCTCACAATTAACCTCTCATAACCTTTCTCTTTGATATCACCTTTTGGTGACTGCGGTCAGTCCCAACAATCATTTCCTTTTGTTTCTTTCATTTTCAATTAGCAGACTGCACAGATACAGTATGTAGGCGTGGGAGAGCATTGTCCTGTCCAGTGCTCCGGCATGGGCAAAACACATTCATCACGCGGCTGTTTGGTTTTGAGACTGGAGCAGACTATGCAGAAGTGTGTATTCTGGAAAGTATAGTTCTTGTTTCTCTAACGTGTGAAGCACACGCAAAAACACCAGAGGCTGTATGTACCTTCAGATGATTATACATTCAGTTTTTTTTTTAAAACATACAGTTAGAGAACTGAAGTTGACCGGTTTGGGTTTGGGTTCTGTGTGTGTATTGGATGTTTTGCACGGACACAGAGAAGCAAATGTATTGCGTTTACCAGTCCCACTGCCGTGGCTGCAGTGCTCCTCTGATACTGTAGGGGCCGCTGTTTTCCTGTCCGCCTGCCCTCATGGTTGTTTGGCCTGTGGAACCAAAAAAGGAGCCATTTTCTATTGTTCACACCTCTTTCTGTTCTCCACTCTCACTCCGACACATCCTCTCTCCCTCTCTCTCTCCGCTCTGACATCTGTAACCTCTCTCTATCTTTGGTCAATAAAGCTGAGTTTCTCCAGTGCCCCCCTGCCGTCTCCCGCTTGTTGTTCTTTCCATCTGTCTCTAACCTTCACTTTTTTTCAATGGCTGCTGACAAAGAGATCACAAGCCGTCCTTTCTGCACCCAGCTGCTATAATACCAACTGGCACTAACGAAGCACGCGTCATTTTCTTCATTTTCTTTTCAAGTTCATCACAGGAAGTTGGAATATTCTGGACATAATTTTCTTTTTTTCATCATGTCTCTACATGTATAAAAAGAAATTGCCTTTTGCAATGAATTAATGAGAAACAACACTTGGCAGATACATTTCTGCAAGAAACACATAAAGACAGCCTCACAAGGATGCAGTTACAGGACAAATGTTTCTACTCTGTCTTTCAGTCTGACGCACCACTGCTCATAACAAAAGGACTTTAATATTACTCAATGTTGACACAGAGACAAAATTCCAATAAAAAAAAAACTCCACCCATGTATAAAACTCATTGTGTTCATACATCAGTATTGGGTATAATCACAAGAACAATAATAAACTTTTTTTCTAAATGCTGTAGTAAATTATAAAACACCTAAACTCAACGGCTTACAGGGACTCTAAGCACAGATCACTGCCATTTTTCATTGGATAGCGCGCGTTTCTCTTGGATGAACGGCTGTTATTCAATAAAACACATGTGATCCGGAGCAACGACACAAACATAGCCTATACCTTCCGAAAAAAATATAATACACTTGAAAAATGATTGTGTCTTTCACAGCACGGTAACTAGAATCTGGACGCAGTGTTTCCAACGCACACACTCTCTCCCCGTCTCTCGAAGTTTGCACAGGATGGGTGTGCATTCTGTCATAATAAAAACCAAATTACTTATCTTAAGCTTGGAGTCTTTAACAATAGCCAAGACTGAAGATGATAATCAGACGTACGTCAACACACGGGGCAGGATGATGTTCACAGTGCTCTGCTTTCTGTGCACTGATGTGGTTCTCCGAGAGTCCGACGAACAAAAATGATTGGATGTCAGTTAGAAATTTACCTCAAGACTTTACCCAGTGCCAATTAAAAACTATGGATGCAAACAAGAGACATAAGAATAATCAGGAAATTCAAACATACGACAGCGTGTGTAATGATCTTTATTTGACACATCTAGGCCTAACGCAGGGTTTAGAATAATGCCAACACTGCTTACTAATGCTACATCACTAACAACTGCTAATGCAGTCACAACTATTCTCTCTGTTTGCAACCTCTTTTTTCATTTTCTATTTCTGTTAAGTGAATGCGAAGTTATGATCATGAAGAAAAATGATAATCTATTACATACAGAAGGTTGAGAGGGTTCTATACATCAAAGGATCAATATTGCAGAAAAGTTTATGTCTAAAGCATTTTAATTATTATTATTTTTATCAATCAGTTGTACTTCATTTACCAATCTCAGATCTTGCTAATAGGGTCTGCGGAGTAATGAGCAACCACACCCCGACTGGAACTATATTCAATAAAACATTTCCTTGAAGTTGTGTTTGAGTTTAAAGCAATAAATAACTTCTGGAGAACTGGCTGTTCTGTAGAAGGGATTCAGTTCTGATGTTATCCTGAATCACAGCAGCGTTACAGTCAGTGGGAGTGTCAGGACGTAATGAATGATAAGATATATCAAACGTACTCCTCGATGCGTAAGTAGGTCACACAATAGGCACAAGTAAGCCTTAGATGAAGAGCAGCCAGTTAGAACACCGAGCACATCAGATTTAATGACAGTGTTGTGCAAATGCTCGATCAAGCTCTCTTCGGTTGTGGTTTTAATCATGGTTGCTTCTGGAATGATCCAAGCCTTTTACCTTGGCACACATATAGCACTGTCAAGATTCATGCTGGCATCCTGACCTGAGTCAGTATTTTTCCAGTGATAACATCTGACAAGTGCTCAGTAGACTGAATTGTGGATGATTCTAGAGGTTATGGATTGGATTTGTCATAAAGAAAATATTTCTTGAAATAAAGGCTTTTGCAGACAACCGAAGATGTCGCTGAAGTGCCCAGAGACTACATTTGTATTTGAATTCATGACATTTTAAAATAGGAAAAGCAAAGGTAAAGGTGTACCAATCATGAAATGTCTCATTGACTCACTGTCAGTAATTCCTATTAGGTTCAGAGGCATTTAGCCATTGTGGGCAACTCCTGATACCTGTGCTTTTCTTGATGAGTCCAAATATCTGCTGGGAGTGAGGCTCAGGATAGAAGATACTGCTATTCTATACGGGCATGGCATATTTATGATGAATGATACTATCGCAATGATGTGAATGAAAGCCACCAATGATACACATTTTTTGTTTGATCACAGGCTTCAGACAAACACCAGTGGTTACCATGACAACAGCTAATGGATGTCAAGCCCCCGCTCTAGACAGACATCCGCACACTGCCATGGTGAGTAACATGTATTGATGGATAACAATGAATTCAAGTTTCAAAGTTAAAGGGGGATAATGCGTAGCGCTATTCGAAAAGAATATAACTGTAAATCAGGCCAACTCAGGACAATCTGTCCAAATTCTAAGTCATAAACAGCAGTTCCTATTTTCCTTTTTTTGGTCCTCGTGACTTCAGAAATGGCAAAGTAAATACCATTGGGGTTATTTCATGCTGGGGCTGAGTGTTCTTCTCAGTAAGAAGAATCTATGACACACAAAGTTTTCTGTTATATACTCAACGTAAACCAAATTGGAGCTAGCTGATGGCAAAAAATTCAAGCTATTAATGCAAGGATACAAAAATACAATACCTCTTTCTCCCTATATGTCAGTGTAAAGGAAGAAGTTGCAAGTGGACTTTGATCTAAGAGACTAAAAGATATTTATTCATCCAGATTTCAGGGCATATGAGTGTAGATCTAACCTGCTACACAATCTCACTTTGGATTGATTTAACAATGCTGTTGCTTATCTGCAGGTACAAAGCTGTCATGTCTTATTCTGAGATCCCATAAATAGCTTTAGGAGTACAAACAGAGCACTTTTTGAAGAGGAATCTAAGAAGCAAAGAAATCAGGAAAAAATGTTTGTTAAAAAAGCTGCTGAGATACAGCAGTAGATATGTCCTTGTTGATAGTTCTTTTTCTGAATATGTTTTTATAAGCAGCTATTTTTCAAATTCGCATCCATTATGTTGAATCATGTTAAAGGCATCGTATTGTGCTTTTCTCAATAAAGGGACCTATTACATAGGGCAGACGTAGATTTATTAATCCCAAAAAGTCATCTGGTGACGGTTGTGATGAACTTCTATTCTGACGGGCTGTTGTGACAGGAATTACCTCCTATTCCATGTAACCGAAGAAGCCTCTGACTGAACACATTGTGTTGCTACCATTATGCTTCATCAGATCGCATAGCACAGTTTAAATCGAATTGAGCCTATAGAGTTTACATTAAATCTAATTTCCCATCTCTGTACTTTTGGTATGCAGTGGCTGTTCATCTGAATTATTCAGTAATTACATGTTAATAAGATGGACAATCTTGTGACCTATTTTCAGTCATTCTTTGCTCTTCAGGGATACTTCCTTAGTCTTGAGCTAAGTCTTCACAAGCTGCAATAAGATTGATGAGAAGAAAATATCATGGTAGCAAACACAAACGAGATAAATGGGAAATTTGAAGTCTATAAGCATCTGGTCTGGAGCCTTCCAAGTTTGCTGTTGTTGCTCGGAAAGCGCCACCTGAGCACATTGGTAGGTGGAGGCAGAAAGGGTTGGTTGGGGCACTGGAGCAGGACCGGGCTGCAGTCAGATTGTTTAGCCGCTGAATAAATGAATGAATGAAAGGCAGCCAGCACGGTGGTAACCTGATCCCGGCGGATCGGCCTCATTGTGCTGGTCTGGGGCTCACGCTGGCAGCTCGCTCAGCGATTGTCTCTGGAACGGGACAGAAAGCGCTCCCAGGACCCGGAGAGCCCTGCATTATTCAACGCGCGTGCCTAGAAAAAAAAGGGTGGAGAGAGAACCAGAGAGAGAGATAGAGAGAGAGAGGTGGGTGATGGGGGTAGGGGGAGTGAGGGAGGCGAGAGCGAAAGAGGGGATGAGAAAAGACAGCGGAGGAGGGGACTGCAGGTTGGAAAAAGCTGGCGCGTAAAAACGGTTCAATGTCATCCAGCCCCCGTCCCCGTTAGAGTTAAACCCGCTCCTCTCCTCTTCCTCTCTCTGACGCGTTCTTTTCCCCGTCCGTGCCGACGCTGCGGTTTCTCCGAGGTGAAAGCCCAGCAAGTAGCAGACAAAGAGGAAAGAGGCAGCGGTCAGGTGCTCGGTTTTTTTCCTTTTTTTTTCCGCCGTTACAACTGATCCCGGTTCCGATCTGTTAACTAACGGTGTCCGGAGGTCCGGAAATCAGCGCATCTTTCTCCTTACAGGTAAAACTTTTTCTTTTTAAAAAGGAAAATACAAAGCATCGCAAAAGTAGGTCTGAAAACATATTGGAGACGCAAATTAACTTAGTTTATTATTGGGAAGAAAAGAAAACTACACTCACTGGAGGTCATATAGTAAAACTGAATGTTGCTGAGTGTGTGTGTCACTTGGGAGTGTTTTCGGGATCATTTGTGTGTGTTCTTTTCAATATGTGGCATTATAGTCAATAGAAATGGGGCCTGGTGACTGTGGTTGGGTTTGAAGTGGAGAGGACACAGGAAACTGCTTATTTTTCTCCTCTGGGGGACGACCAAAGGAGGTCAGTGGACCAGACTGCTTGCTGCAGTAGTCTCCATGCTTCTCTCTCTGGCTCGCTCTGCTCCTCCTCCTCTGCATCACTTTAACCCAGATATTGGAATGACCTTAACCTGCTTTTCATCCCCCCCCCACACACACACACAGTGAAGCACTTGGTAGAGCCAGAGGGACGGCTTCATTGATGTGTGCCATTGGTATTTTTCATTAGAAAGAAAGACGAACGAGCCATGATGTCGTCTTTCGCCCATTCTGGATCCCTGTTTGTTTCTTAAATGATATTATCTGGTGCTTATGCAACATTATACTAAGCAGTATTCTTTAGGCCCCTGTGCAGGTAAAATTGGTTTTGATTTTGGAAACTCCGGCCTATTCCCATTTGACCCATTTCTCTCTCTGCTCCTGTCAAAAGGTCGTTTGGATACAAACTGCGTAAATTAACATCTTGAAAAAGTTCAATGTAAAGGCAGCCACAACTATGTTTGGGTGTCAAAGTAGAAAGGAATCAGAGAAGTGGGAATGCTCATTGGGGAGCCAGATTTCATGTTTGCAGAAGATTTTTTTGGGAGGATAACTTAAAAAGAAAATCTCGTCCTGTTGCCAAGCAACTTCCAGTTCTTTTACAGCAGACTTTAACTGTGTTTGTGATCAATGAAGGATGAATAACATCATGAAGGGTTTGGTGGTAATCAAATCCACTCTATCTTTCGTGGCCCCATAATTTGCACTTTTACAATCCATGTACGGATTTTGACCAGAATGTCTTTTATTTCACTTTTGGAACATAAAGTAAAAAACCCTAGCCTGTTTCCTCAACATCTCTGTCAATGCTGATCAGTTTGAGGTCAGTGTAAAGTTGGGGACATTTTGCGTGTGTTCAGCTGACCTGTTCAGTCCTTTTGGGGCGATGGATGCCTCTAAAGGCCTGTCTCTCTGAACATTCCAGCACATGAGACGTGTTCACTCTTAGCCGGTGCCATGCAGCGTTTGTTTGGTGTACACAGTGCAGTTTACCCAGCAGAGCCCAGCAAACACAGCCACCCGGCCAAAAAGGAAGCAAAGAGCCAAGCTACTGCTTTCAGAAGATTTCACTCTTCCGAGATGATCTTTTGAGCACCAGCTCGACACGACCGAGCAAAGTTCTTCATGGTCAAACTAATGAAGCATGTTTTTATTGCTCACAATCCATTTTGAAAAAGCTCCTCTTCGGTACTCGGGGGGGTTTTTGTTTGGTCATCATTTGAAATCGGTAGCTGATTCTGGCAATAACGAGGCTGAGCAGCAGTCTGCCGATTCAGGCGGACTGTCTGCCAATACCAGCGCTGGACACAAGGATCAAAACCCGCTCTGCCTTTCCACCGAACAGCCGACGACAGGAGGCACTTAACTCCCCTGGACAGTCGGTGTCGGTAAAGCACACCAGCCGTTTGTGTGACGCGTTTGTGTCTGAGGGGAAGCACATTTTCCGTCCACGCCCCTCTCGGCGCTCGGCGGAGTGTGTGTGTGTGTGTGTGTGTGTGTGAGAACATTGGCAGAAATAACAAAGTTATCACTGATGTCTTCTTTCTCCGGACCTCTCCCTATTCCCAGAATACAGACACACACACACAGTCATCAGTTACGCAACAGCTGCGCGGTGGATGATGCTAAAGCTCGCACAGCCAAGAGCAGACCAGAAGTGGAAATTGGAAAGATATGGAGAAAGAGAGAATGGGATAAAGAGATATGGGTACAACACAGGTAGATGTGTGTGTGTGAAAGAAAGACACAGGGTTAGCTTGGGTTAGAAAAACATAGGTAGGAAGTCTGTTAAATCTCACACGATGAAGCCTTGTTGACATTTACCGGCTGTTGGCCTTTCATTGGCCGATCTGTCGATGGGCTTCCTCCAACCGTCCGACAGGAAGACAGCCACGATCCATCTTGTGCTCGTCTGCAACTTTAATGTGTGTACTGTCAGCTGACAATGAGTGAATAACATGAGAGAGGCAACATGTGGCGTGGGTGTCATGGACAACAAGTCATGTGAATATCCCTCAGGCCGCCTCTTAAACTCAAGCCTTTCCATTTGAAGCAGCTGGAATTTTAAGTAGTTCTTCGGGTTGTGTTAGACACTTTGTGTCTATTTTTGCTATCCCCCCTGGGAGTGGATGGCAGCTAAAAGCGACACAGTGGTGTCTATGTGCGTCTGGTTTGGCTCCATTCAAACTACTTTTTTATCATCAATGTTTTGCTTTTCAAATACAGAAATGTATACAACACAGGGAGGGGAGAATTGGGTATATTGTCATAGTATCGGGAAAAGGAATCAGTTATCCCTAGTGTTGTGATTTCATCAGTGTGTGCGGCCTGAACAGGAGCAACACAACTTTTTGTTTTCATGGTTGGCCTAAATGCCTCACTCTCCTGCACACTTTGGCATCCTATGCCTTCTGTTGTCAGCGCATGAGTTATCTCCCTCCACCCAAACGCTCTGATTGGCTTGATTGCTTCCTCAAGTGAGCTTACACCAAGCAGAGTTGTGGGTAGAAACTCAAGAGGTCATGATCCCGCTTTAGTTTTTAAGTCAGATGGAATGATTTCTGTCACCACCTAATCCATAAAAATGACTTAGGAGATTTGGGGCATTAGCGCCAATAATGCCAAATCAATCTCCTAAAATGTTAAAGACATTATCTGCTTTTCTTTTCTTTTTTTTTGTATCCGCATTCTAGCCTAGAAAAGCATTTTGTCCACTGTGTTTGTATTTGCATACCAGAGAGGAAGAAATCTGGAGGGATGCAGGAAACATAACAATACAACTCAGCAACGCAATGGCCACAGTTACACAACCTCCGCTGCCCACTATTGTCCACAACATCCACCGAGCATTGATGTGCGATAGAAGGCATTCATTGAACATACAGCAAAGGACAAATCACCTGATAGCACAAGTGCTTGTGTTTTACAGCGGTCACACGCTCACAGACAATGAGAATGCAGACTAAAAAACGCACACAACAGGAAATACTGTACGTGAAAATGCTTCCAGACACAACATTCCACACTGTTACTATACAGAACAGTTTTATTTGAAGCAAAAGCAGACAGGATTTACCATTTATTGATCTCGTAGTCATTTCTTGATAGTGTTTACCTCCGAAACCAAGGACACGTCCCACAGCAGTCTAAAGTGTTTAGATGTGAAAATACGAAGAATTCTTGCAATCCTGCCTGAGACAGGAATGTTAGAAGGCCCCTCCAACATTCCAGTCCAGCTACAGCTTTTTCTGAATTTGTAAAAAAAGGCATCATCATCTTAGGGGTTCCACTGTTTCTCATACTTGTGGAATTGAAGCAGCACACATTTTGTGAAGGGTTAAAGTTTGTACAGATTCAGCAATCCTATTTGCATCGTTCACTCGATTATTCATTTCATTGTTTGGAAACTGTTGTTGGAAGCTGGGCCTTTTCTATCCGTTAGAACTCAGTGTGCAGCAGCTGATAGCTTTCATCATCACAAATGTGGTCTCATCTGGATTAAATGAGCTCAGGACTGGTGTCATATTACGGATGATGTTGCGTGAAGGTGAGGGTTCTTTTGTCGTCTTTACTTGGCCAACATAACAACCTACTTGTTACTCTTAGACAGAGCTCCGATTTACCTTCAGAATAAAAAAAAAATGCATGTAACCACATATATTTATTAATAGAGTTTTTGGGGTAAGAAAATGGAAATAGCGCTGTTTGGAAAAGGTATCGTCCAAACAAATGGACAACACCACAAGCAACAAACACAGACATGTTTGCTTTCCCAGGCTTTTTTTGTCCCGCGTGAAGCTTCTTTCCTCTGTCTAAATACTTTAGGCTAATGAGCTAGTTTCCGGAAATAGACCGGTGAT